GAAGCACATTTCTTGTCAATGCTGCTGCTGCCTAATTAGCTATTCCTAGCTCAAGCGAAGGACAACTCTGCCTTCTGGGCTAACCTCATGCTCTTAACCCATGTGTGGGTTTTGCTGGTGGCAGGGTGCTGAGGTGCTGTGGGTGGCCTGCTGATGGAGAGTATAAGGAGTGCTGGAAGCTTCTGTCGGGAGTTTATCATATAGTTCTCTCTCTTAGCCATGAGTCCATCAACAATATGAGCTCAATAAGGTGTCTTTAAAGAGAAACACAACAAAAACAAAGTTATACTGTGGTTGGTTGCTTCCGGAAACCTAAACCTCAAGGCACTGGTTCGACACGACGTTTGCTAACTCAGCACTTGTCACAGTTTTAGGGTGCAGCCACCACAATTGACAGGAGACGGAGACCACTCTTTACTGCTGGCAATTTCTTTATTATACTTTATTGTTTGTCTTCCTTCAAGAATATAAAAAGAAACTAATATTAATCTCCAATATAAGACATACATATGTCTTGTTTCTTCAGTATTGGTGACTTCAACTTTTCTGAGTCTCTGGAAATTTACCCAAATGACAACAAAATGAGACGGCATGGCCTGTGGTTCTCCTAGAGCCTCCTAGTGCCGTGGTTTGGTGCAGAGTTTATAAGAAGGCATTGTGGTGATACATGCCGTCTAAAGGACATCTCAAGGTTCCTGTGGAGTATTCCAGTTTTGTTAGCATCTAACCTGAGATTCAGTTATATGAATGAGTATATATGTGGGAGCACAAACTTGTACAGCAGCTTTGGAAATCAGTGTGGCAGTTTCTTAGAAAAAAAGTATATATATATATATATATATATATATATCCTGTAAGCTATTGAATAGCAAATATTTGGCTGTTTCTAGCCTATACTTTTTGTTGTTGTTGCTGTTGTTGAGAAACCTGAAAATGCTCTGATGCCTGCTTATGCTGGCAGTCATGTGGGGTAAGGGGAGCACTCAGGGGAGCACTCCTCCACTGCTGACAGCCTATGCTGGTGATCATGTGGGGTAGGGGGAACACTCAGGGGAACACCCTTCCACTGCTGAGAGCCTATGCTGGTGATCATGTGGGGCAAGGGAAACACTCCTCCACTGCTGGTGGGAGCACAAACTTGTACAGTAGCTTTGGAAATCACTGTGGTGGTTTCTCAGAAAATTGGGCATCAACCTACTTCAAGACCCAGCAATACCACTTTTGGGAATATACCCAAAGGATACTCAATCAAAGTGCCACAAGGACACTTGCTCAGCTATGTTCATAGCAGCATTATTTGTAATGGCCAGAACCTGGAAACAACCTAGATGCCCCTCAACTGAAGAATGAATGGTTAAGAAAAATGTGGTACATTTACATAATGGAGTACTATTCAGCAATAAAAAACATTAACATCTTAAAATTTGCAAGCAAATAGACAGAATTAGAAAAAAACGTCCTGAGTGAGGTATCCAGTTTCCAGACCCAGAAAGACAAACATAGTATGTACTCACTCATAAGTAGATATTAGACTTACACAAAGGACAACCAGCCACCAGGCCACAACCCAGAGGACCTAAGTAACAAAAAGGACCCTAAGAGAGACATACACGGATCTGCCTAGAAAGGAGAAAAAGACAAGATCTCCTAAGTAAACTGGGAGTGTGGAAGGCAAGGAAGAGGGTGGAAGGGGAGAGGGGAGAAAGTAAGGGAAGTAGGGAAAAATGCATAGCACATGCCTATCCAAACAACACAATGAGAAAAATCTAAACAAACAAACAAACAGAAGACAAGGGACCGCCGAGCAGCCTAGCTCAGCAACTGCTGCTTCCTCCCACAGCGCAGCCATCTGAATCCATGGCTGCTGTTGTGACCTAGCGTCAAAGGGGAGGCCTTACTGCGCATGGTTAGCCCACGAAAAGATCCAAAGCCTCAGTTCCACTGAATATGCCCTGCTCTTAAACTATCATACACTGGAAAAATCCTAACTTGACTAATAATGCAAAGATTGCCTGTTCACCCTATCGACGGGGCTGTGTGGAGATGCGAAACTCAAATAGGGTTTCAGAAAGGCAGAGTGAATGTCCCACATGGCTCCCATCCCGGATCCTTCACTAGAGCCACCTCGTCTCTGCATCCACGACACGACTCACATGTCCACTCACATGCCAGAGGATCTTCCGAAGACTAAACGCATCACTTAGGAAGCACCGGGAATAATTCGGAGCCTTCAGTTAGCTACAGTCTCAGTCCCTGAACTTGTGAGAACCACCTGAGATGGCACAAGCTGCTAAATTTGTGGAAAATTTCTTTGCAGTAATCAAGGAAGCTAGTATTAGCATTTGAGGTTGTCAATAAATATCAGTTTCCCTTCTCTCAAGAGAGAGAGAGGGAGGGAGGGAGGGAGGAAGGAAGGAAGGAAGGAAGGAAGGAAGGGCAAAGAAACCTTAAAATGATCCCAGAAGAGGTGGAATCTATTTCTTTGCTCAGAAACCTCGCCTGGCTCCCAGCTGATCCCAGCTCTGACACCAGCCGCAGGCTCTTCTCATTAGGGTTCCCGTCTCTAGTGAGAACCTAATGTCCTCATTAGGGTGCCGCACAGGAGAAAGACAAAGACTTTGGAGTCAGACCTGGGATCGGTTTCCAGCTCTGCCTTCTCAAAACCATAAAACCACGGTTCATTACTTACTGGTTGAGTCCTTCTGTGCTTAGCTTCGTGGGCAGCTGGTCACAGGGAGACCATGTCTGTGAGAGGGTCTGACACAGCTGGGGCACAGCCTCTGCCCCAGGCACAGCCACAGACTCCAGGGTGGACTGAGCCTCACTCTTGGGATAGTTGCTTAGTGTCTGCCTTGCCATCAGGGACTGGTGATTTGCTCTGTTCTGAGACAGAGTCTTGCTGTGTAGCTCAGACTCTCCTTCAATTCCCAATCTTCCTGCCTCAGCCCCCTAAGTGTGGAGATTAGAGGGGACCGTCACCACATCTATTTGGGAACAATGATTTTTTTTTTAAGTTGAGAATTGTGAAAATCACACTTCAGTGCCAAGAAAACAAAGTGACTTCCTACTTTCACTTTGAGCATTTTAAGGGGCCTCGGGGCAGACAGGAGCCTGTTTCCAAAGGCACACAAGCGTCTTAGGTAGAGATATGACATGAGGCCTTGAATGATGGTATGTTGAGAGCCAGTCATCTGGAACTCCCAGAGAAGAATTCCTCATCCGAACAGATGGACGACGAGCCATGCCAAGGGTCAGAGAGCTGTGCTTTCGTCATGTTTAGGAAGCGGAATGTTTAGGATGTCATTAGAAAGTCTAAGTGCACTCTGCGAGCAGACAGGAAGAAAGTAAGAGGCTTTCAGTATCTCTAAAAAGGGGAAGATGTTTTTGTTTGTTTTTGTTGTTGTTTTGATTTATTTGTGTATCCCAAGTACTCAGAGGGCGCTGTGTATTTGGAGAGTATCATGAGAATATGATGAATAAATGGATAGCTGAAGGAGGAGTTGGCACGCGGATCGTCTGTATGTTCTAGCATGGTGCTGACGATACAATGGTTAGAATAAGTTCTTGGCTGGTAGACACAGATTTGTGCTCTAGTCTATTAATAATAAGTCAGAACCTCATCCTCTATAGGCCCGCTTTACAAGGTAATTTTTAATATGTTATTCTTCCTCTTTAAAATCACCCGTTTATTTGTTCCTCCCTTGTGATAAGGGAGTGTCATAACTTGAAGGGATGAGGAGGGAGAAATGAAATGAGCTATTCTTTTAGGGGGAGTTAAACTTTGTTGAAAATTGGTTTGAATATATCAAATAGAACGAAAAGGAAAGAAATTGAACATATAAATTCCTCTCGCTCTGTAACAGGAACAGGGCTCAGCAAAGCTAGTGATCATTAGGTCTAACTGGGGGTGGTGCCAGGCTTGGCACCCAGGATCTCTGAATATTCAGAAGTAAACACAGTCTCAGAAACACGGAGTGAGGCTGCCATGTTCTGAGAAGTTGAACAGCGGAGTTTAGCTAGAATTAAGAATAAAGAAAAGCCTTAGGGAATCTGGCCAGAGGAATAAATGAGAGCCGGACGTGGTGGTGCACACCTGTGACCCCAGCATTTAGCAGGAAGAGGCCGGAAGATCAAGGAGCACACGGCCACCGAGCTCCGTGAGCCCCGTCTAAACAATAAGAGATGGATTACAAGGTGCCGTAACTAGTATAGATAAAGAATCCGGGCTCATCTGCGTCAGTGATGTTGAAATAATTTTTAAGCAATAAAATTCTTTTTAGAAAGAAATCTTCTGAGAGGTCAATATGCACACTTAACTTAAAGGAGGCGGGCGGTTACTGCCCCGGCTGTTGGGCAGAATGAGGAAGAAGACAGCAGCCGACTGTGGTGCATTTTCGTGTTTTAAGCACTGACAACTTTGGGTCCTGTGCTGCCAGAAAGAAAAAAAAAAAACAAAAAACACAGCCTCATTTTCCTCTTCCAGTCTCTTCTTCCCTTGCACAAACAGATGAAAAAGGGAAAGGAAAAAGTTTGCATAAGAGATGCTCTTTATTCTGATTAGAAGCTGGTAAGGGACTCAAGATTTACGGAAAGTCTAGCCTTCAAGGATAGGAGGTCTTTGATGCCTCAAACTGCGGAGGAAAGAGAATCTTTCCCATTTTAGACGATTCAGTGGGAAGACGCTCACTCATGGACTAAATTTAGACTTTTAAACTCTTTCCCTGCTAGTGCTAGTGGAGGTGAGTATAATTGAGTACAATACTTGGAGCGTTAGTATTACAATTGCTTTTTAAACAAAAGAGTTTCCTTGTGCTTTATTAAAAACCAGGCTAGTGAATCTTGACTAGCATGCGGGCCACCCACGGCAGGCATGCATTCTATTGTGTGTGGTTTGGACTGCGTCTGGCCAGCAGCACTTGCTGAGGACCCTCTCCTCCCTCCGGTGAGGCGGTGAGGCGCTGTGAGTGGTGATGCAAACGTGCCCGCCCTTTTCTGGGAAGACAGAAAGCCTGAGTCAGGCGGCCGCGGCTATTAAAGCGCTGGGTAGGGCAGCTGCAGGCACTTCGAGGATGAGGCTTCCCTGCTGGTTCTGGCTGAGCTCCGCGGCCGTCCTAGCTGCCTGCAGAGCAGCGGGGCAGGCACACAACCTGACGGAGGGGCTGGGGGATGCGAGCGCCCAGGCCGCCTGCCCTGCCAGGTTGGAGGGCAGCGGGAAGTGCGAGGGGAGCCAGTGCCCCTTCCAGCTAACCCTGCCCACGCTGACCCTCCAGCTTCCGTGGCAGCTTGGCAGCATGGAGGAGGTGCTCAAAGAAGTGCGGACCCTCAAGGAAGCTGTCAACAACCTCAAGAAATCCTGCCAGGACTGCAGGCTGCAGGCTGACGACCATGGAGACCCGGGCGGGAATGGAGCAGGGACAGCCCCGGAGGACAACCGAGTCCAGGAACTGGAGAGTCAGGTGAACAAACTGACTTCAGAGCTGAAGAATGCCAAGGACGAGATTCAGGGGCTGCAGGGGCGCCTGGAGACGCTCCATCTCGTAAATATGAACAACATCGAAACCTACGTCGACGACAAAGTGGCCAATCTAACATCTGTGGTCAACAGTTTGGACGGTAAATGCTCCAAGTGTCCCAGCCAAGAATACATCCAGTCACAGCCAGGTAGGTGTGACGGGGCTCTTACCGTTTGTCCATGAACGCTGTGTAGCGAGATAGAGGCCATAAACATTAACCTGAGAGAGTGAGTTAATAAGCCTTTCATCTGTTCCTTACGGCAGGAGAAACAAATATTTGCTCAAATGAGACGTGGTAAAGGACCTAATTACAAAAATCCTATTAGCCGTGTTCGATAGAGACACTTGCCGTCAGTCTCTAAACTTTCTATGCTAGCCGACCTATGCACAAGCAGAAACAGGTTCCTCTCAGGCTGGTGCGTTTAGCCTGCTCAGTGTCTCTGGACACCAAAGGCAAAATTCCTGGCTGTGCTTACTAAGGGCACGGAAATCAGGTCTGGGGTGGGCGGGCCGATTCTCAGAGCAGCAAGTGGTCTCTTTGGAAGGCTTTTGCAAACAATCCGCTATGCTTGATTCTCAACTATCTAGTGAGAACAGGAGATTTTATACATAGAACAAAAGCAGCTTCGTGTGTGTGCCAGACTTTTGGTTTAAGACTGAGTGGCATATCCATTCTCACCATCCCAGTTAGTTAATCGTAATGCTGTTTATAAAGACCACAGACTAACTGCCTACTGTGAGCGTAGCACTGTTTCCCACCATTTCTGAGTTCCCACGGCAGCTGCTCGTATGGTGTTGCCACACTCCAGAAGGCCACCTCTCTGTTAGGATCTGTGCCCATCCTGACTGTGAGGTTGGCGAGACAGTGGAGAGCACTTCATTTGGAGTCTCCTGGGGGTGACAGGTCATGGTGCCAAGGACCACTAGCACCAGTGACCCTTATCACCAGGTAGATGTTGATGTTTTAGGTGACGCCACAAGGTGTATATTAGATATGGCACTGTACAGTAACTTGTAATAATACAAAAAATTCTATTATTTTCCTTTTCTCCTAAAACTTTTAGGAAATGAAATATTATGAGTTCTATATAGACACAAATAGATTTTTCTGCCCCATAAGTACCTTATATTAAACTTACTTTACTTGACTCAAATCTTAATGAAAATCAACTGGGAACAAATAGTTGGTCTCTGACCTCTACAAAACCCTGTTGACTGATTACACTGAGCGGAATCACCCTGATGCTTCTCCTAGAAATCAAACTGTAAAATGCTGGTTGACTATCCCATCCTGGATAATAAATCCAGAGTAATATTGGTATATTATTGGGGAAAGCCTTTATCTAACTTGGACCTCTCTACAGCTGTCAGGTAAAATGTGAGTTATGGCGCAATGCTGCACAATGAAGGTTGACACTTTACTCGGGACATGGCCTGTCAGCTTTGCTGATTGTGTCTAGGATGTGGTCCTAGGAGACTCGGGCTCACCTCAGCTTCAGGACAGAGGAAAGCATGCATGGTTATGGGAACAAGTTCTCTGCCAGGCAGATTTGACCCCATGTTCTAGCTCCTACCACTTGTTCCAAGCGGGAGAGATCATTGCTCTTCTTTGAGACTAAATGACTATACAGGCAAGCTGGCAGTAACTCTGACTCACCAGGACGATGTGTGGATTCAACCTGGAAATGTTACAGAGCTTGGCTGAGTTTCTGGAGGGAGTTGGCCCTCCCTAAACCTTGCTTACACCTACCCTGTCTTGCTTGCTGTTAGTGTTCTCACTACTGTTACCAAGCACGACAGTCTCCGTAACCAGGTCCAGGGGAGTGTGCCAGAACCAGGTTCCATGGTTACCAATAACTAACTTATCAAATTGCTTTGGAGTCTAAGAATTCTTCAGATGCATAGCTGTTATTAACAAAATTCCATGCTTTTCTCTCTCCCTTCTTTTCAGTTCAACATCTAATATACAAAGATTGTTCTGACTACTATGTGATAGGAAAAAGAAGCAGCGAGACCTACAGAGTTACCCCAGATCCCAGACACAGTAGCTTTGAGGTCTACTGTGACATGGAGACCATGGGGGGAGGCTGGACGGTGCTACAGGCTCGCCTTGATGGAAGTACCAACTTCACCAGGGACTGGAAAGACTACAAAGCGGGCTTTGGAAACCTTGACCGGGAGTTTTGGCTGGGTAACGATAAGATTCATCTGCTGACCAAGAGTAGGGAAATGATTTTGAGAATAGACCTCGAAGACTTTAATGGGGTCACACTGTATGCCTTGTACGATCAGTTTTACGTGGCTAATGAGTTTCTGAAATACCGATTACACATTGGTAACTATAACGGCACAGCAGGAGACGCCTTACGTTTCAGTAAACATTACAACCACGACCTGAAGTTTTTCACCACCCCAGACAGAGACAATGACCGCTATCCCTCTGGGAACTGTGGGCTTTACTACAGCTCAGGCTGGTGGTTTGATGCCTGTCTCTCTGCAAACTTAAATGGCAAATATTATCACCAGAAATACAAGGGTGTCCGCAATGGGATTTTCTGGGGCACCTGGCCGGGGATAAGTCAGGCACAGCCTGGAGGCTACAGGTCCTCCTTTAAGCAGGCCAAGATGATGATGAGACCCAAGAATTTCAAACCATAAATTGCCAGTGTTCATCTCTCCAGACACTCATTGTCTAAAGGCATTGAGTTCCTTCTGCCCTTTGCATAGGCCTGAGTTTATAGTCCTTTGCTTTGGCTAACACATTTCCTTTTAAACTTCACAGCTTTTAAAATAAAGCTAGAAGTATCTAAAAAGACAACTTTGTTGCCATTATACATGAATGCTTGAAAGCCCTAGAGGTATTGACAGTCATACATTATATTTGCAAACCCTTTAATTTTTATTAGTTAAAAGTTCCCTACTAGATTTATTATTTTTACAGTTAAAAAACTAAATTATTCAGCAAGCTAAACATCTATATAAGCAACTTTTATTTTCACAATAATAAACATGCATATTTGCAAATACATTAGTCTTTTCAGGCCCAGGTTATTCATATATCTGTAGTCAAGAACTGTAGAGCTTTCTTTGAGCCACGACGACCTTAAAGCATTTTAGTTCTCAAAAAAGAAGCAGGGGCACAATATGTGTAGCGAAGCTTATTGAAGTGATACTCATGAGATGTATAATGTGGCAGTAAAATACCTTAGAATGTAGTGTGTCCCTTCCCCATCCTCACTGGGAAACCACGTTGCCCTGGAGACTTTGGTTTAGTGGTACTTCATTCACTGTTTAGAGCCGATGCAAAGGCTACATTGTTGCCAACCCCTGCTCCTTATGCAGAATAGTTTTTAATGAAGGTGCTAGGCTACTGTAAGGCTTCCTTGGGGAAAGGCACGGTAGAGGGGAAAAAAAGTTTATCTAATACTTTAAAAGCCAATCCCATACCCAAAGCAATACTGTTGTTGAGGAATCAACTTCCTAGGAAGCTGACTTTTCTAGAATAAATTTATTTATTAAGATGAATTTTGAAATAGTTCAAATGTTATACATTTTAATCCTATGTATATATATATATATATATATATATATATATATATATATAATTCCTGGAGCTTTTAGAATTCCTTAATTGTGGAATGCCAAGGATCATATCAGAAGGCTTTAGGAGCAGTTTTGTTTTATCATTGTGCAGAAGGACCTCTGCAGAGAGAAACAAGCAGCCGCACATGCACATCTGAAATGCCCGAGTGAGCGCTGTGTGTGTCAGGCATCTGAAGGAACCGCACAGCATGCAATGTGCAAGCCATAACTTTGGTCTTAATGTTTCAGTGTGGTTTTCAATATATTAACCGAGCTTTAAAACACGTTCGTAAAGATTCAGCGTCTTTGAATACAGTTAGGGAGGACAGTTACTGACTTTACTACTTAAACATTCAAATATGCAGCCATTGTCAAAATATCGTTAAGAGGTGCAAGATATTATTTTAAAAATATAAAACATGAAGCATTCAGGTAAATAAATGAAAATTAATCTATTATTAATACAATTAAATTACCAGAGTAAGGTAAATACATGCTGAACTAAGTGACCAAAATGTAAACTCTAGATTCCAAAGGCTGTTTACATACTTTGTAGAGTATTGGATGTAAATGGCATAATTGGTGGTGTGGTTACACACCCTTTAATCCCAGCACTCGGGAGGCAGAGGCAGGCCGGTCTCTGTGAGTTCAAGTACAGCTTGATATACAGACTGAGTTCCAGGATAGCCTGGTCTACAAGAGCTAGTTCTAGGACAGACTTCGAAGCTATAGAAAAATCCTGTCTCAAAAAAAAACAGAACAACAACAACAAAAAGACAAAAATTTTTATATTATATAATATACATGTTTTAAATCCTGTCTACCATATATAACTATATATAATATATAAGTCTAAAGAACTTCAGTCATAAAGTTGGGCTTTATCCAGCCATATGATCATATAGGCTGATCATAGCAAAGCAAAGTACACACTTATTTTTAGTGTGTCTTTTTCAGGGAAGTTTGGTGAATAACAATGAATCCATGTAAAGTATATTTGCACAGTCAAGGGATCAAAATGTTTCTTCTATTATACTCTTATGATAGTTTTCTAATGAACTCTTTAACACAGAAATTTATTTTTTAAATCATTTTTGCCAGTCATTTAAAAATATATTGTGGACTTTGATAATCTTTAACATGTTCATTGAAATAGACCTTTGTCTTTACTATTTACTAATATATGCCAATGCTCATATTTGCAAATATATATTTTTAGAGTCTTGGCTTCCTTTGAGTGACTAACATTGATTTTAATTATTACTTTATTACTGAACATTATTATCCTTTAAAATGCTGAGTGAAACTAATTTCCTAGGAATTTGGCTGATTCGCCTGTCACTAAATGAGAAGGTCATTTTGCTGATAAGCAGGAATGCACCAAATATATTCCTGTATCGGATGAATAGAGTGTGCATATGCAAAACATATGAAACATCTGAACCCCAATATTGGCTGGTTCTTGACTTTCAATAGTTTCCCCTTACCCCTCAAAAAGTTTTAAAGATAAAATGGATGCATGTAGTTACAATAAACTCTTGTTTTAAAGATCTTTTCATTGATGTGTATTTAAGGTTATGTTTCATGTCTCTTTAAAGCCTGGTACAATAAAATATTTAAACTTCATATCTATCCTTCAATGTGGAAACATTGTCTGTAAAATGACATTTATATATCTATTATTATCTGAAAAGTTGAACCACATTTATATGACCTAGATAATATCCCTGAATCTTTAACAACACTGAGTATTATTTCTTTAAAAGGAAGCAAATGGACAGAGAGAAGAACACCATTATCTATTTCCTTTTAGGATACTGTCGACACACCCTCGGTATGGAATTTCCCGTTTTTCCTCTGTGGTGTTTAACTCTCCCTCCCCTTTGCCATCATTAATGTTACAGGTGGGGTTAGCGCTCCTCTCCTGATGGATGCAGACCCATGCCAAGGTCTTCACTGCGGCTGTGAAGAGCCAGAAATGAGAGAGTCCAAAACACTCCACTCCCTAAACATGGCTCTCTTATAGTTTGAGGTGTTCCCTTCCTCAATGTCTGTCGAGGCACTATTTGTCTGCCTGGGAGACACCATTGCTTTCTTTGCTGAAGGAATGGTTTGATTTCTCTAGGCTTCTCCATCCTGCTTATCAGAACCCACAAGGGCGTGCTCTGATTATGAAGCGTAAAATCACACAGCGGGGAAGTCTCTGCACATCCTTGCCAGTTTAGCAAGAGCGCCAAGGAAGACATATGTAGACAGATTTGGAGGCAGTGTGACAGAGAAGAGTAATTTTTAGAAGTGATTGAGTTTGGTGGCATATATCCTTTCACCAAAATTTATTCACCCCAAGAGGAGTCAAGGAGAAACGGTTTGCTCTAATGGTTCGCCTACCTAATTAACATACTGATATTCAATAGCAGCTTATGTTAATGAAGCTGAGAAGCCAGAAATATCTTCAAACTCAAAGGCTTTTGGAGGTGAGAAGTCTGTGTGGAGTTTGCCTCAATTCATTTAACCTGCACTTGTCCCAGAAAGTCTCCTTGGAGGATAAAGATTACCACTGAACAACACAGGTAACCCTGCCTCCCAGTTTAAACCGGAAGAAATTTTCATGACAAGCACCACATGTGTGAGGATTAGAGGAGGCGGTGCTAACTGAGCACAGGGTATAGAGGGAAGACGGCTCTGTGCTGACCATTGTAGAGACCGGACCGGACCATACAGGCCACATTCCTACGTGGTATGGCAGTCAAAATTCTGTGCAACCTGGCAAGGCACAACCTGCTGCCCTCCTAAGGATATGCTAATGCGTTCTGCTCCCTCTACTGTAATTTAGGAGGTCGCCTGGGGAGGAGGTGTTTTTCAGTCTGACAGAACAGGCATAGGTGTGGATGTGACCTAAGTCATTCTCCCTGCTCCCTAGGAAACAGAATGCTGATGAATGTCCCCTGTAGTTTACGTTTTGATATAAAAGCTGTTTGGAGAGTTAACTTGGATGATTTTCAGGATGTAAATTCAGGATTTCATAAAGGATCCCTAAAAACTCCCTCCTGATATAGTTATGAGAGTTGTGTTTTCTTTTTCTTTCTTTCTTTTTTTTTTTTTTTTTGCTGAGTTCAGGACTTTTCATTTTGATTCCCACTCAATTCTAAGAAAACAACTTTCATTTTCTTATACTAGATCAGAAAATGGTCGTGTGTCTGTGTCTCTCATTGCCTGGGACCTTCAGGCAATGAAGTTATTTTTCTTTAAGAATTTTAAACAACTACAGTCCTGAAAGTAAATTCCAGGATCCAAGGAAGGCGCCCCACATTACCCTCTGCAAACATGCTAAGATCTTCGTGATCTGTTGCTACATCTAGGTGAGTTGTATTTTCATTCCCACACCTCCACTCTGGAACTAAAAATAACTTAGGTCCTGGACCTGGACAGACTCCATGTTAACAGAGATGTGAAGAAAGGAGTGAGAAAGCAGAGAAAGATCTGAGAAGAGCGAGTTCCAAGCCAAGGGAGCAAGAAGCATCCACATTTGGAGTCTGGAGAGCAGCTGGCACATTTGAGAGTCATCAGAGATATCAGTGATACTGATCTATTTCTTTCATAAGTATTTATAAAAGTTATCCAAGTGAGAGGTAGCTAAACTTAAATTCCTAGCCACCCTCCTAGCACTGACCCCGGATAAGGATGACAGCAATGAGTCTGGCTAGTAACGTTCACCAATACCGCACTGGACCCTCGCCCAGGGGCACTGCCAGCATCTCTGTTTGCCTTGTGAACACTGCTCCAGGAGGCAATGCTTCCTTCCCTGGGAGGGACACTAACTACCGACTGTCAATCATGTGTGAGCCATCATCCAGGTCCCGATTTCCAGACGTTCTTGGTGTATTTCTTAAAAAGTGACTAATTTTCTACAGAAAAGCTCACACAGTGACCCCCAGTCTCATTCCTCCGCTGACTTTTCCACGGTACATCTTGTTAGGGCCGAGATCATTTGTATTCAACCAAAACAATTATATAATTTTTTGGACAGGAGATAGTTTTAAATTAATGTATTTTCAAGGGTGTCAGTGTCCCTACTTAACCTAGTGTTTAAAAACTGTCTTCCTGAAGCTAAGTCACATTTATAACAGTGCTGACAGAAAGGGCAAACAAATCCCCATGCTGTCCAAACACGGCGTGCTCCCTGGTTACGTGGCAGGCGTGCTCCCTGGTTACGTGGCAGGATTCACTGGCGGGTGCTTTCTGCTCAAACACAAAGTGCTTTGCAAGTTATCTGAAAGCTGGAGGACTTCTCATGCAAATGCCAAAGTTCTTATTTTCATCTATTAAAGAGAACAATTTTATAAAGTGATTCACTTGAAAATCAATGATATTAGGAAGGGTTATTTATTAAAAAACTATTCTATTTGAGGAAATGTTTAAAATTCTTTGAGATTTTCATTATTTGTATTTTATTTGTATGAGTGTTTGACTGAGTGTGTGTGTGTGTGTGTGTGTGTGTGTGTGTGTGTACAGCATGCATGCAGTGCTCCAGA